ATATAATATACATATATGGTGGCACCTCTGGACCACATGCGACAGGAACACAACACTGACATTGACACGACGACAACTGACAGACAGCACTGACATTTTACGGATGTGCAGTGACAGAGGACGCCTTCAAATTTGGGAAAGCATATTCATTAATGAACTCTCTCGGGCCTTAAACAGACAGACAAATTCTTGCAGAACTCTTGAGCTACTAGGTGGTGGGTGGTGAGCACTTCTGATGTGATTGTGACAATAGTGTTCCCATTGTGTCTTTGTGATATATATATATATATATATATATATATAAGTTAGGAATTACTTGTTATTTTCCTTGTCTGGGTGGCAGCCCAGCCATGCTTATTTGACAAAAGTTTAATTTATGAAAGTGTGGGAAAACCTGGATTGTGAAGGTACAAACCCAGTTTGGTGCAAAGACATAGATTGTGGTCATGTCTGTTACATACCAAGGGGGTTCTGATTTGCTGAGTGGGAAGTAGTCTGTTACTATGCTTCATGTTGCATATTAGCTACTTGCAGCATGATAGTTGTTGAGTATGTTTTGCAAGTTGTGTGCTGATAATATATGCTCTTACAGCACCCTTATGATGATCTGAACCTGTTGTGTTGTACTGTTAAGTCTTGTGTATATCATGCATGCTATGCTGCAGAGGAGTGGCATATATTTACAGCACACTCAATACTCAACCCATGTCAGTGTGGAGTCCATGCTATGATATTTTTGATAAACTTATGTCCTTTGCAGACTTGATCCTGACCAACATATGTGAGTCCTATTCCTTTATCCCTGAGATGGTCCAAGCATCCAAGGTAAGTTCAGATCCTGATTCTGATGCCTCCTGTGTTACCAGATCTGCATATATTTATGTTTGATAAAAACATTCACAGCTCTTTTGAAGCCTTTATTTGATATTCCACCATAATGTTCATTGTAGTTCATACTTAGGGGAAAACAACTGTTTATTGTGACAACCACCAAAGCAAACAAATACACAGATCCCAGAAGTGACTGTGGATTCTGGTTGTGAGTTGTATGAAGGGAGAGTCTTGATAAGTTGTGGGGTGCTGGTTGCTGTAGTAGGAGTTATGATCCAGTCTGAGGACACATCTGTTGTAATAGATAAGACTGCTTCATTCTTTTTTCTCTCTTCATGATGACAGCTAGATTTTGGTTTTGGCAGTACATACTTCAGACATTGTTCATGGACCATCTCAAATGTCTTTGAACAAAGTTGTTTCTCAATCTGTGAAAAAGTTTGTCACTGCCTGCGGCCTGGCACGAAATGTGCGTCAGTCCGTCTCCGGCCTCCCATTCAGTGGCGGTACTGGATTTGCCGTCGAAAATATGATTGCTTGCCTTTTTCGGATGCACGCGGCGAAGGTATCTCGGGAGCAATAAATGCTGAATTATGAAATGTCAATTCTATTGTGATTCACTTCCCAAGAGTTTGTTGGTACCGAGGAGAGACTGAAACCTTCAGCTCAGAGGTAGGGACTGAGGCCACCAGCCTCTTCCTGGCCTCTTGGAACTCCTTCCATATCTGTTTGACCCTTACGGTGATCGGCGATGACATTAATTTGACCTTATCATGGTGGTGTGTGGCTAATGGGATGTATCTGCTTTGAAATCTCACTGGGGGCCATCTTCGTGCCGAGACTCGGACGTCGCATGCCCACGCAGGTTTGCACCAAAGATCACTCTCGGGGTGGTGGAGGCAACTTGGGTTGAACTGGCAGGCAGGGGGAGATGAGTTCAGAGCCCTACTCTTCTCCTCCACACCTGGTCCGTTTCACAAACTGGTGGAAGATGTAGTTACTCAGAAAATGTGAAAGATATGCGAAGATGTGATAATTTCTACGGGCAAGAGTCATGCAGGAGCTCAGCACATGGATTTATGTACAGGGAAACTGCCTACAACTGCCTCCGCACCTGTTGTGGCTCTGTCCCACATCCCCCAAATGTGGATTATATTTGAAATGCATCCTCCTGGGTGTGCCTTGGCGTGAGGATGGACGTTTTTATCGCATTCTCGTCCATGGATTTCTTCCGAGAGTGAGCAGCCCGTGCTCTTCGTCGACGCACGCACCAGAGGCGAGGTAGGCATCACCGGCAGGTTATTTTTGGGGCCAAAGCCTTGCATCTTGTTGTTGATTACTTTTGCAAACATGTCACGTTCTTCAAACTCCACAAAACCAGTATAGCACATTGAATGTCTTCGTTTGTCGTTCTTTTGCCCAGAGCAAACGGGTCCCAAGGTTTTGCTAAAGTGCCCTAGTTTTCTCATCCTGATGCGGCCCATGCCAAAATGGCCGTAAAAGTGTCATAAGTCGTACAAATTCTGGTTTTCTGTCTCCGTCGTCAATCAATTTGCTTCCGTATTGCGTTCAAGGATGGTTGTTGAGCTATAGCGTAGCTAGGAATCTGGTCCCAAGGTTTTCAGGTGCATTTTTAGGCTCGAGATTCTATTTTGATGCCTCCAGGAGCCGTTTCATTTCAATGTTTTAGAGCCCCATGGTCACGGGGAGTCCCATCAGCTCGAGAGGGGGCAAGCGTGACTCCAAAAACCTCTCCCCTCGACTACGCCGGTGGCGCTGGGTGGGAAGCCAGAAACAGGCTTTGCAGGCGTTTCTTACTATGCTGTAGGCGATGGTACAGTTTATTACTCCATTCGAGGGCCCCAGTATCCAGTCCCCTCCCCTTAACTTGCCGTCACGCCCCAAACTTCGAAAGGAGACTTGTTAAATTGTTAAAACATTTGACTTCACGTAAAATCGGAGCATTTTAGTCATTGTCTCTTGGCTTAGTCCTTTTCCCGACTGAGGCTGCAAAACTGCGCTCCTGGTTGAAGAGCAGGTCTTGTTGTTTACAGGATGATCCAAACTGTCTCGTTCAAGTCCATAAACACTGGTCCAAAAATAACCCCTGAGATGTGTTTTGCCAAAACTCAAGTTAGGGTTGGTGTCGTGCTCGCTACCTTTGCAAGTCCTGGGTGTATTTCGCCAGCACGCTTCAAAGCGTGAAGTCGAGATAAGTGATGCAGACATGAGTATGCCTCCTGTTCTGCGGTTGTCTGCCGCTTGCAGTGGCAATGCGTCAACTGATCCCACCCGATCCGACCCGTCCCGGTCTTTTTTTAAATATACACTTTATTCGTGAGTATTGGTAAGACGTCGAGGCCACCATGCTTCTGTTCAGGCGTGGTTGATATTCGTAAAAATTAGTTCTTCAACATCATTCGAAAGTAGTATTGGGGTCGCGCGTGCTCACAACGGCCAGCATCAGGCGCCAGGCTGCAGGCCATGGTTGGAGTCCGTGATAAATCAGATCCGTTTCCGAGCTGGCCTCTGGTGTTACCAGATGGCGTGTACAGTGACATGGAGCCTTTTGATATCCAGGTTCTGGTGTT